GGCTATCAGCCTGGCAGCTGCAGCCCGGAGTTGCCAGAACTAAGCGCTTCCAGGATGTGGGCCATGTGGGGTCAGGGCACTGACCCTCAAACCCAGTGGGTGGGTCGATGCCACATAGACAGGCCAGGCTGGGAACACAGGATCAATCTTGTCTAATGGAAGAGGGCTGGCTCCTCGTCTGGCTGAGGATTTTGGGGGACACAGCACAGCATCCAGGAGTACTCTGGGATGTCCTGCCTGATCCACTAAGGTGTGGGCTGTCGGGGCAGCTGGGGTGCAGCCTGGTGGGAGGCAGGACTCTGGACCCCCACCCCCCAGAGCATCCCGGCAGGACAGAAGCCAGCTGTGTCTGAGGCGCCTTTGTTTCCACTGAGAGCCTGCGGCTGCCCCAACAGGCAGAATGCCTTTCCGGGCTGTCCAAAGGCCTGCAGTCCAAGCCCCCGAGGGCCCTGAGCCGGCCTGGGCAGCAGGACTGCAGGAGGGCCCTAGGGACTGTCCCCTACTCAGCTCTGCAGAAATGAGCCCTCCCTGGGACAGGGATTGAGGGTAGGGAGGGCTCCTGAGGACGAAGCCGGAAGCCCCTCGGCTGGGAGCCACACCAGAAGCACTCCAAGCCAAATCCGGTCCCTCCCTCTGGGAACAGCAAACAACCTCCTCCCCCTCCTCCTGCCTGTGAGTTGTTGGAGCCCAGGGGAGGGCCCGCCTATTCAGCCCTCTGCCATCCTTACCGCTGGTACTAAGTCTGTCCCCCTGAGCAGGAGCTGGCGGGTAGGTGGGCAGGGGCTTTCCCACCCAGGCAAAGTTGGGCAGAGTAGCCCGAGGACGGCGCGAGCCCGGGGAGGGGCGGCAACCAGGGGGCGCGCTGCCAGAGGTCCCCCCTCCTGCCACCACTGCCTCCAGTCTGGACCGCACTGACCTTGGGAAGGCAGGGGTCCTGGCCACCGGACCTGTCTGGGCACTAATGTCTTCTCAGGCTAGTGGGAACCCGCGCGTCACCCCCACCCACATCCCACACCCGTGTGAAACTCTTGGGAGAACTCGCGTCAAGGAAAAAAGCGCGTTGGGACACGCAGGGAGCAGAGGCCAAGGTCGCCCCCGCTTGGGCTGAATCCCAGCAGAGTCCAGACCCGGCCCGGCGAGGCAGAGGTCGGAGTCGGAG